GGATTAGGCTGTGTGCTCATGCAGCGAAGAAAAGTTATTGCTTATGCCTCAAGACAGATGATGGCACACCAAGTCAATTATACAACCCACGACCTGGAGTTGGGAGCAGTGGTATTCGCATTGAAAATATGGAGACATTACCTCTACGAAACCAAGTGCACAATCTTCATTGACCATAAAAGCCTACAGCACATCTTCGACCAGAATGAGTTGAATATGAGACAACGGCGATAGGTAGAGATACTCAGTGATTACGAGTGCGAAATATGCTACCATATGGGCAAGGCCAATGTGGTAGCAGATGCCCTCAGCCAAAAAGAGTACTCAGGTCGCAGTGTGAAAGCACTTACTATGACTATCCATTCCCACTTATCCACACAAATCAGATAGGATCAGCTGGAAGCCCTAAAACCCGAGAATATGGTGGATGAAACCTTGAGAGGAATGGAGAAAAACTTAGTGATCAAGGGAAACGGAGTCTACTATTTCATGAACCGGATCTGGACCCCAAAGTTCGGTGGATATAAAGAGGTTCTTATGAACGAAGCTCACAAAACTAAATACTCCGTTCACCCAGGATCGGACAAGATGTACACTGATCTAAAGAAGCTATATTGGTGGCCAAACATGAAGCAGAGATCGCTACCTTCATGGGCAAGTGTCTGACTTGCGCCAAAGTGATGATCGAATATCAGAAGCCCTCAGGTTTGCTTCAGCAGCCAGAGATACCTGAGTGGAAGCGGGAGAAGATTACCATGGATTTCATTACCAAATTACGCAAATCTCCGAGTGGTTACGACACCATCTGGGTAATAGTCGACCAATTGACAAAATCCGCTCACTTCTTGCCAATCAAAGAAACTTTCAAAATGGAAAGACTCACACGAATCTACATTTAAGAAATAGTTCGATTGCACGGAGTGCCTCTATCCATTATCTCCGATCGAGATAGCAGGTTCACCACGAGATTTTGCCAATCCCTATAAAAAGCTCTTAGAAGTACAACCTACCATCCTCAGACAAACGAACAGAGTGAGAGAACCATCCAGACTTTGGAAGACATGTTGAAAGCATGTGTCATCGACTTCGATAAGTCGTGGGACAACCGTTTGATCTTGGTTGAATTCTCCTACAACAACAATTATCATAACAGTATCAAGGTTGCGCCTTTCGAAGCTCTCTATGGCCGTAAGTGCAGATCCCCTCTGTGTTGGGCTGAGGTGGGCGACACGCAGCTACAAGGGACAAGTCCCCGATAGCACTCTCACTGGTCCAGAAATCATCTATGAAACCAAAGAAAAGATTATACAAATACGAGAACGACTGAAAGCCTCACGAGATAGATAAAAGAGCTACGCTGATAAACGACGAAAACCCTTGGAGTTCCAGGTTGGTGATCGTGTCTTGCTGAAGGTCTCACCCTGGAAAGGCATGATACGCTTTGGAAAGCGTGGAAAGCTAAATCCAAGATACATAGGACCATTCAAAATCCTTTCTAGGATCGGTCCCGTAGCATACAAACTTCTTTTACCTCAAGAGCTAAGTAACATTCATCCTGTATTTCATGTCTCAAATCTTTAAAAAGTACTTATCCGATGAAACTCTTACGATTCCTCTCAATGAGATCGAAATCAACGAAAACCTCAAATTTGTGGAAGAACCAATCAAAATCATGGACCAGGAGGTCAAGCGAACAAAGCAAAGTCGCATCCCGATAGTGAAGGTTCGCTGGAATACAAAGCGGGGACCTGAATTCACTTGGGAGCGCGAGGGTTCAATGAAACAGAAGTACCCCAATCTTTTTCCAAATCCATGATTTGTACCTTTATTCTTGAATTTCGAGATGAAATTCCCTCTAACAAGGGGATAATGTGACTCGTTACCTTTTAACGCCATTTAAGGGTTCGTTTAAGTGTTCTAAGCCCGAGTACAACTGGGAATGAGATTAGGAATGAGTTAACAAGTCGTATAGGGACTAAAACGGGCCATACACCCTCTTGGGAGGTGTGTACTGCCGCATACACGAGTGTGCGGCCGCACACCCATCCTCCAACCGCACACTCCCTCTATAAATAGGGGGTGACCCCCTTCACTCATTCCTTTCTTTTGGTTGCACTCTACTTTCTCTCTCTAAAATCCTCATCCAATAAAACTCCAAAGGCCTCAAAAACGTGAAATACTCCATCATTTAGCTTGTTATACGGGTAAGACACCTTGTTTTAAGCTTATAACTCTTCATGTTCTTCGTGCTCTTCATCACTTGAAGGTGTACAATCGTAAACCTTCATAAGGAAGTCGTACACACCTCAAAGACCCTCCAAAGTGAGAGTTTGGCCCCTATCTTCAAGTTAGACTGGGTTTGAGCCTTAAAACACTTGAAAATTAACCTTTGGTTTATAAATGAAGAGTGTACGGCTGCACACCCATGTGTACGGCCGCACACACCCTTTGTATGGCCGCACACTCCTGTGTGCAGCCACACACTATGGCCGCACACACCAAACCCTTGATTTTATAGCCATACACCTCCCTCGTTCGATCATTTATGGCTCCGACACTTAGTTCAAGCATTTCCAAGTCTTTAGGGTGGTTTCCCGTCATGTTTAGTCATGGAATAGCTTAATCTAATGCATATATATATATATATATACATATATATATATATATATATGTATGTATGTATATATATATATATATATATATATATATATATATATATGATACTATATGTTAACAGGATCCATTTGCATACGAAACATCCGTTGACACTCATCACTCATACCAATCGTACATTCGGATCCTACGTTACACGGTGAGTTCATACCGCTATGCTTTTAAAGTTTTTAAACGTTTTTAGGAGGAATACGAGCCAAACATAACGGTATTCACAAGCTAAAAACTGATGCAAGTACAACAGTTTTACATCAAGCATTTAGATACTTTATCCCTTTTGTAATATATGCGGAGCATAAGGGATGTTTTTCTAAACTTAATTGCATAGTTTTCAAGAACAGTACATGAACATAACAAACCATTCAAACTATAATAGGTATAGTTTGGGATTTCATTACCAGTCTTACAGATTCAAACCACATACAAAGTCAAAACATATAAACTATGACCGATTTAGTTTATCCATTATTACCTTCAGATAACATGATTATCTTACTAAATAATTATTTGGTGTATAATTATTTATACTCTACGCCGTATACAAACAATTTCAAACACGAGTATCACAGAACAACACGTAAACTAGTTTTTACAAGATTGTGAGATCTATCTACGTTATGCCCTTCGAGGTACCAGTAAATCCTCACCTTTAGTATAACCAGAGTCTCCTGGAGGGAGAGCATGAAATTTGTGAATAGATCTATTCGGGACTGACAATCCCACACCTGAACTATTAGCTATAGTTAGGCGGGCACGACTGGGGTGTCAAATTTTGTAACTGTACGACGCCTGAAGAAACGTCAAGGAGGTCATCATTCATATTAGCATGGTTATATGAATTCACAATAGTATCAACTAACCTTTGTTTTCATGATTTCTTTCTTCTATAGTTTTATTTTAAGTAATAGAACTACTATACATACTGGTGGTAACAAGGATTTTTGAAAAAAACATACACTATATACTTGTGGTAACCAAGGTTTTCAAACAGAACATACACTACATACCGGTGGTAGCCAGGGTTTTCAAATAGAATATACACTACATACTGGTGGTAGCCAAGGTTTCGAACAGAACACACACTACTTACTGGTGATAGCCAGGGTTTTCAAATAGAACATATTTTTCATACAGAAATCAACAAACATGTTAGAAAATATTGAATTTTCTTGGAAAGCATGCATACATATTTCAAAACTTGATAACAATGATTTTCGATACAAACGACATTTTACTTATAATGAAAAGAAGCCATTTGTACAAATTCAGTGACTAGTTTTCAATACAAAATATGCTTATGAACTCACCAGCTTTATGCTGATACATTTTAAAAATCGCTTGTATTCTCAGGACAACGATAGACAGGTACCTTTGCCAGCTTTTGGAGAAGACGGAGCATTTTGGAGTCTCGTCTTTATCTTTTGCTTATACCAATGTATACTAACTATGTTTTCAAACAGAGGTAAATATTCATATTGTAATGTATTGGTTGTGTTTACTTTGATTGTTATGATACGATTCTTGTGATACTACGCATGATGTCACCCGCCCCCGGACGTTTCCGTCGTTGTTTTCTGACGGTTCGGGGGTGTGACAAAATGTAATATTAGCCCATCGAACTTATCGTGTTTATTTTAAAAAGTCACTCAATTTTTTTCTACATTAAAAGAATGAACCTCATTTTCCTGTTCGAAAACATCTTTATGTGACCTAGTATCGGATAAGCCTAAAAATATATGCTTTGACCACACAAAATGATCCTTCAACATCTCGTACACGTTCAATTGCAAATGGTTCTGATTGCCATCATGGTATCCGCCAAATGAAGATGGCCTCGATTTCTCTAGGCTTCTTTTATTACAAGAGTGGAGGATGTGTCTTGTAATTCACACTTGCAGTTAGCAAAACAAAAACCTGAAGGCTGAATACGACCACCAATCAAGAAACTAGATTCCTCGATTTATATCTCGTTATCCATATTCATGTTAAAAGGTATTGCTCTTTGTTATTCGTTTCATCATTAATTATCTGCCAATTTCTGCTTTATTTAATCGGATCAACTGTTGAGGTGAGTAATCCATTGCTCTTATATCTGATTGTTCCTTAATTCCATGGTTAACCCTACAACGACTCTGAAGTTTTCAGGTTTGATTGTTTTCGATTAAATTTTAACTATCCGATTTGTAGGATAACTCCACTTTGAGTTCAAATCTAGTACTTAGTTATGCAAAATTGATATCGATTTAGAAATTATATTGCTAACAGGCGGCGGATATACTATTTCCTAATTATTCGTTTGATTTTTCTATAAATCTGTTCGGGAGATAATGGATTCAGGAGAAGGTAAGCCTAGGTGGGTTCATTACGCTAATATTTCTGTAGTTCAAGAAGATTACAAGGGAACTTCACCATCTTCATCTAAATCACCTTCAGAAGAAATTCCTAATGATGGAGTCAAGTTATATGATCTTACAGGTGACACTAAATGGTGGTTACACCATCAACCTAAAGAAAATCCCACCTCTTTTTGGGAACCATTATGGGAAACCATGGAAATGGAAGAAAAATATACAAAAATCAAGGAATTTGAAGCAGAGAAAATGATTCAAGATGAACTGAACAAGGTTGAGCTTTTGGAAGCACTTTGCCATTCTAAAAAATGAGCAAGGGAAGCTAAAAAGCCAGTACAAAAAGAAAACAATGAAAAAGAAGACATGATCAGTCAGTTTATGAAGCAAGCTTCACAGTTATTTGGTTACAAGCAATAGTTTCGTATATTGCAACTGGAAGCTATTAGGAACAGTAAGTATCATCAGCAAAGGGTTTGGAAGATGAAGAAAAAGGAGAATGCTAGTTTTGGATCATCAAGATACAAAAATAGCAAAACAATAGGGGAGGTCGTGTATTGTAATTCACAAATTGCAATAGTGGAGGACATGTCTTGTTAATTACAATGCCTGATTACAAACTCAAATGAAAACCAACATCCTTGCCTCCAAGAACCGATGGGATGATTACAAATTGTCTGGTGGTGGGATTGAATACATATTTGAATTGTAGAACAGGGGTAACAGGAAGTAGGAGAAGGATTTCGATCAAAACATCGTCGTTTGAATCTATTAAAGCTACAAATTGGTTGTTCTTGGTGTTCTGTTTTTTTTTTTTAATATTGGATATGGTATTCACCATTTTTGGAGTGACGTTGAAGAAGAGATGTATTTAAAGGGTACTAGTTCGATTGATTGAAAGATTTGGGTATAAGAAACTAAAATGAGGCTACAATGATATTAAAACCTGATATATTGGGTTAAGAGTCTTTTTTAATAGTTTAAATGAGAGTTCATTCCCAATATATATATATATATATATATATATATATATATATATATATATATATATATATATATATATATATATATAAAAGTTAGGTGACTTTTTAAAACAAACACGATTAGTTAGATGAGCTAATATGACATTTACCCATAAGCACACTTATGAGAAATTTGTATTAAAAATGATCAATTATTGCTAAAAACAACCCAATTGACCGAGTGAATGTTTTATTCCATGATGGATGTAGTTGTACACTAAATTTTTGAGAGAGGACAAAAAGGCAACGATCACGGGGTTATGTTGCCTTCCCAATTGATACTTTTAGAGTTTTATATATAGTCTAGTGTTTTTATTAGTACTTTAATAAGAAAATTACACCACTTCCCTAGCCTACCGGTTAGTCAATTGAACTCGCGTTCATGTTCTTTTAGGAGGTAGATGGTTCGATCACTCAACCATCTTTTTTTGTATTTGGGTCTAGGCCTGGCAATCGTGTCGTGTTCGGGTTGGCGTGTCACGGGTTGGCGGGTTAAAATATGCCAACCCAAACACGATCTATTTAAATATACAGGTCACGGGTTGACGGGTTTGGAACATAAACCATATATGACCCGCCAATCCATTTATTTATACGGGTTCACAGGTTGGCAGGTTCGTTGGTCCAAATTTTAGACATTTAAGTCTTAAACATTCAAATGAAAATTAAAAATATTTATAGAAACATGTTACAGACTTAGCCTTAGAGGTTACGACTTACGACCTTAGACCATCCACCACGAGTCAAAATGTAAAAATAATCAAATGGTCTATTAATCAATGGTATATATTATATAATATTTCTTAAATATTAATACTTGATATATAAATACATTTAAAAATAAAATAATTTTTTTATTGAGTATATAAATGGGTTGGCGGGTCAACCCGTTTATTTTTTGAGAAACTCATATATGACCCGTTTAATAAACGGGTTTGCGCGTTAGCGGGTTGGCGGGTTGAAAAACTCATCCCAAACACATTTATTTCGTGTCGTGTCGAGAATTGTCAGTCCTATCTGGGTCGACCAAAACGGATCCTGGCTAATCTGGACCTAACTTCAACCTACAAACCTCCCGTAGTTACATATTTGGCCCATAAGTTTTGATTTTTTTCAAAAATTTTGTTAAATTTTTTTTTCTTATTAATTTCTCTGAACATTTCTTTTTAATAACTTAAAACCTACTTACTTAAACCTAGAAATGACATTTCGTATTTTTTATGTGTGTATTGTGTATACACGTCAAACATGAATTTACACGACATGAATTGTAAAACTTGTTTTGGGTAGGTAACACGGACATGACATGCAATTAATTTGTATGGCATATGACACCACACAAATAGACGTGTTTTTAACTATGTTACACGAAAACAAAGATTTACACGAATTTGTACAATTGTTGTCTAATACTACTTTTACGCTAGAAAAATATGAATTTAGTTCGTGTTTATATATATATATATATATATATATATATATATATATATATATATATATAAACACGAACTAAATTCATATTTTTCTAGCGTAAAAGTGGTATTAGACAATACTTGTACAAATTCGCGTAAATCGTTGTTTTCATGTAACATAGTTAAAAACACAATATATATATATATATATATATATATATATATATATATATATGTGTGTGTGTGTGTGTGTGTGTATACATATATATATATATATATGTGTGTGTGTGTGTGTGTGTGTGTGTGTGTATATGTATATGTCGCGTGTCTATACATGTTATTGTTATGTGTCACATGAATTTAATTCGTGTCTTATACATGTTTAAACATGTGAATTTTTGTTTCCCACATCTAATACATAAAAAACGAATTTATAACTCATGTCGATACGAATAGATATGAAAGACAAATGTCTAAAATCCATACATAGAAAACTGGTGTTGTATATCAAAGGTCTAACATGGCATTTTCAACATGTAAATCAGCAATAGTGGAAAGTATAGCCAACATTCTCAGATCCTTGCATTCGGAGGTAACTTCTTTTGGATAACCGTAGACATGTTTGCATTGACTTGAATCTATTCATTCGCCTTGAATTTTCTCTTGTTGGTACACAAATCCATGAGAAATTTTGCATTAACTTGGAATTTGCTTAATGACATCCAATAGTGGAATGTTGATTTGGACCTTGCGGAAAGTTTCAAGGAAGTCCTTCTCTTCCTAATTCTTCTTTGAGATGGCTAATCGGGAGGGTAAGGGTGGTAGAATGATCAATGTCTTGATAGTTTTGTTGGAAGATTTGAGTTGACCAATGTTTGTCACAAACGGTCCTTTTTGAGGAACTACCACCTTTGTAGGTTCAACAACAATAACCTCATTTTCTTCTTCTCTTGAGGATCTTTTGAGGTTGCTTTCTCCAATAGATTTTCCACTTCTCAAAGTTATTGCATTCACATGAGGATTCTTCTTGGTTTGAGATGGAAGTTTACCCCATTGTTCGATCTTGTTGAGAGTGATAGCCAAGTATCCAATTTGAGATTGAATGTTGAAGAATGTGTTTTTTCTCTCTTGTTGAAATTGTGTTTAACTTTGAGCAAGAGAAGTAATGAGTTCTTGAAGGATCATTTTATTGTTACCACTTGTGTGTGCTTGTTTTTTAGGTTTTTGGTAAATTGGAGGGGGATAAGGTGTTTGTGGTGTTGCATATTGTGGTTGGATATGTTGTGGAAAGGGAGGTTTTTGTGATGAATATTATGGATATTGGGGTCTCATTAAAGTATGTTATGGAGCTTACTTTGGTGGGTATTGGTTGATTGGGTTATTTCTCCAATTTGAATTGTATGTGCTTTGAAATCTCGTGGGTCTTGGTTGAACTTGATATCCGCTCATTGCATTAACATCTTCTGGTTCATTCCCAAGCATGGGAAACTTATCTATATAATGCCCCATCATTGCACAAAGACCACAAACCATCAACTATTGAACACTACCCACCACCATTAGACTTAACACATTAATCAAATCCAAGAGTTTTAATTCCAAACGTTGGGTGTTGCTAACTTTACCAACAACTTGTGGAGAATTTCTCTGCATGTCACTTCAAGTCCGAAGTTTCTTTAATTTTTAAGAAATGGTAAAGTGATCTTATTTCTTGAGGTGTCATGTTGAATATGTCACCGCCACTTGAAAGATCAATCATCCTCCAATATTTTTCATTCATACCCTTATAAAATTCTTAAAGAAGTAGTTGTTCGGGTATATTGTGCTGAGGAAAACTTGAACACAAGTTGTTGAATCGCTCCCAAAGATCATGAAAAGTCTCATTCTCTCACGGTCGTATAGGTGTTTACGGTTGTGTTTACAGCCGTGAACATGTTTACGGCTGTATTCGGATCTTCATTCATATCAATACATACAAGATTCGTCATCATCTTCATCTCCTTCTTTTCTATTTGATCTGGCATCATCCGTTTGATTGGGATTCAACACCATCAAATGGATCTGATTGATATACAAGCAAATTGGGGACTTACAATTGGTATCAGAGCTTGGATTGTATCAGTCATTTTTGTCAGATCTGGAGCTTATTTGATCTTATTTTCGAAAGATTTTTTCATTTTTGGATAGATCTATGAAAATTAGGGGGGGGTTTGTTCTTCGCGTTTTTCATAAAAATGGGTTTTTGATCGAGTTTTGGAGCGAAAAAGGGCAAAAATCGTTGTTTTTGGTCGTAACCAGTGAGGAGGTGGCGACATTTACGGCCAGCAGCTAGGGTTTCTAGAGTTTACGACCCGAGTTTGCGGCCCACCTCGGTTTACGTAGCTTTTCGGTTTGACTTTTGAGTTTAACTTTTAAGGTTGACTTTTGAGGTTTATAATCAAAGGGCATTTTTTTAAAATTTAAGTTTGACTTTTAAATTTTTGCTTTTAATGGCTTTTGAGGTCTACGAGGGAAATGAAGACATGAAAGAGAGTCGTCAGGATATCTTAAGACAAAATTTCAACATGTTCAATTATATCCATCGAGAAACCTTGGAAGCTCCGTTGCAACGATTTACTACACTTACTACTGAGATGAATATAGTCGGGATCTTCTTGACTAAGTGTGAGATAAACAAAAAGCTGTTGAATGCACTTCTAAAGTCGTGGGATATGAATGTGACTGTTATCAAGAAGATAAAGTCGTGGGATATGAATGTGACTGCTATAACTGAAGAACTTGACGCTTTGAAGTGTGGAAACACAATGAGTCCCGCACACAACTTGGTCAATGAAGTTTCATGTTCTCAATCATGTGAAGCTACGATTAAAATTCTTCGTGA